TTGAAAAATTAGTTTTTTAAAATATTTATTTAAATTTGTAAGTTTTTTTATCAAATTTGGATATTAATAACGATATATAAAATTTATTTTTCACTTTCTTTTTACTTTACATTTTGTATAAATAAATATGAATAAGTTATAAAATAATCATAAAATATTCACGAATAAATATTTTTAAAAGCCTACAAGTTTGAATAAATATTTGAATGAATATAAATTGTAGTCCAATTATGAATTTTTTGTATTCATCGGACACACTATTTTATTCAAACAAATAATGTTTCGTATAAGCATATGTTGTTTCAATGAAACAAATATCAGTTTTCCTATCTTAAAATTGCCATGTCATCTGCATTGAAGCCTCTTTTCCTCAATGTTTAAAAATTCATAGATCTTCCAGAAAAATAAAGATATCGACTTCTTTCTGGGCTTATCTTAAAGATGAATTATGTGGCTATATTTAAAAAAAAAATCGTGATTTGATTAAAAAATGACCGATTCAATATGGCCGATCAAAACGTCTTTTTTTTTTGAAAATTGATTTTTTTTCAAAAATTGTTAAAATTTGTTTAATTAAAATGTAAATTGGTATAAATGTTATTGGAAGATGTATGGAGTCTAATACGCAGCGCGCGCGCGCTTGTTATGTACTAGTTAAGTAGATTATATTATAGAAATACTAAATCTAAAGAAACCTTTTTCTCTGCGTGTAATAATTTTTTTTATGGTAGATAGTCTTGAAAAGTTATAATATAGCTTTTTTTTAAATCAGAATTTCTGTTATCACGACGACGACTTTGAGATTACAATGCACTTGGTTTGACGAATCTTTCAGCAGCTGTAAGCTCTAATAAGAACACATCGGATTCCTCAGAGTCGTCGACCGGCGACGTGACAAAGACAGATGAGAGGAAAAACTCCCCGGGAACGACTGTCCGGCGAGAAAGCGGCCGGAAAGAGCGCGAGGAAACATCGAACAGAGCGAGGGAACGCGCGCGGATGATAGACGTCATCGAATTGCCGGGAGCGAATGACGAGGATTTGACCGAGTCGGCGAAATCTAATTCGTCGTTAGAGGAGAACGAGGAAGGAAGAGAGGAAGCTTCGGAGGTGGGCTTGGATCAATGGATTTCACAGGATGCCGAATATGTGTCGAGAAAGTCTCACAGAGACGTACTGCAGGTCGAGAAACACGCGGGCACGAAAACCGCGACTGAAGCGTCGGAAAGTTCCTCTGAACATGGCAAAAGCGCATTCGAAGTCCGGAACACGAGGTCGAAGACGAAAAAAGTGACGACGAGAAAAGAGAATGAAAGTTGCCGCCGCACTTCGAAGAAAAATGAAGTGGTAAGTATTGTGTATTTTTTATCGATCTAATTTTTTCAGGGTTGGATAAGTTAATTTTTTTTAAACTAAATTAAGTTAAATAAGTAAATGATTTATAAAATTAATTTAGTTGAGTTACAAGTTGCATAACTAAAAACTAACTCAGTTAAAAGTTGCGTTAAGATTAAATTAACTAAAGTTAAATTAAAAGTTAATTTGCAAAACATCATTTATATTAAATTAGAATGTCGTAATTTTTAAAAATGAGATTACTTAAATAAAAAACAATTACAATATAAATAATCAAATAAATTTTATTTATAATATTTTATTTGTAAATTAATATGAAATATTATATGAAATATTAATATGAAATATTAACTAATTTATTTATATGAAATAACAACGAAATATTGTGTTTATATGAAACATTTTTTTTCTTTGAAATAACATTATTTTTTTAAATATTTAAATAAATAAATTTTTAACTTAGAAAAAAGTTAATAAGTTAAAGTTTATATATGTTTAAACTAACTAGTTGAAGTTAACACTTAACTTGTTAAAATTAACTAAGTTAAGTTAAAAGTTATTAACTTTTTAATGTTTAATTCTTTTTAACTAACTACTACCCAACCATGAATTTTTTATATCGATTGCAGTAGTTTCTTTTTTTTTTATCAAATCTTCCTCTCGTTTTTTAAATATTTTTAAATTAATGTTAAATGTCTTTAAATCTTTTGAAATTATTTTTCTGTCATCCAAAATTTTGCGAATCTTTATTTGGACATTATACATTTTGCAATTGAATGCTAGATCCAGAATTTGGAAATAATAATTATATAAATAACTAATTAAAGATGCAGGTATTAAAATCGATGTTTTTTTTCGTAATGCCGAAAAGTCATTTACGTAATGATTACATAATGTATTCTGGCAAGAAAAGCCGCTATTTCGTCATCTCTAATAACGTTTTCAGTCCAATCGTAATTGTCGTGAATGTAACCTCAAGAGAAGGAACAGGAGCGTGAGGACAGCGAATTCGAAGTCGGTAGCTGAAACTCGCAATAACATGGGAAGTCGTAATAAGGAAGACAAGGCTTTGAGGTTTGACAGCAAACAAACGCGCGGACTTCGGAAACGGATTGTCGAGCTGCGACTGCGGCAAGAACGGGAAGACCTCCAAAAATATCTACACGAACTGAAGGACTCAAGACTAGAATCGGGCTCTACTCGAACGAGCTATTTCAGACCTTTGGAATTCCCTAAGATCGCAGAATTCACGCAGCCTGGTAATTTAGAAACTTAAGCAAAGATTGAACTTTTATAAATCATCTGTCTTTGTGAAAAACAATCTTTAAAAATATTTATCGACGATCACGATTACCGATTATATTATTATTACCGTCCGCTTTCTTTGGATAAAAAATTCCTTTTATTTCACAGCGATTCTTCTCAGCGATAAAGTACAATCGACAATTATTATATTGTCCGTTTAGTAGCGGCTTGTCTGTTTATTCTTGATTAAAGACTTCATTTCATATATTTTTTTCCTTTTCGATTCACTTCGCGATTTATGTCACTTTAATGAACGCCGTCCGCGAAGTGGTGAGTCGTGCCGCGGTGAATGCGCCGACAATTGCGACTCTAGCATTGAATAGAAGGAATCCGCATTGTATCGGAACAATGAGAACGTAGACCGATAGCGGTGTATAGAGTTGTAGGACCGCACCGAATACGTTAAATTCATTTTACATTTAAATGGAGGCATTACGCACAAATGCAATTCAAATGTATTCAAAATGTATTCAAAATGTATTCTCAAATGTATTCCATGCGTTAGATATATTTTTCGACTTATTTACGCCATGTTTTGAGTGTAGGACTGATGATTTGCTTCGAAGGCTTCGACATTCGAATTTCGAAGCTTCAAAGATTCGAAGCTTCGACATTAAAATCTTCGAATTCTTTTGAAGCTTCGAAATTTCGAAGTTTCGAAAAATAGATTTGTACAAGTGATAAATTTATTCAGAAAATTTACAAATACGAAATTATTCCTAAAAAATTTAAAAGTATTATAATCTGAAATATTACAAATTAATAATTAAACTTGATACATGTGCAAATAAGGAAATATAATGATCAATACCTGGGAAAAAAGTTCCATATATAATTATATATAATTATATGCAAAATATGTCCATTATGTATATGTTTCTTTCCTTTGTAAAATTATTCTTTACAAAATTGATAATAATAAGAAGGAAACGTAAAAAATAATTAAAAGAATAATTTTTACATTGGTTTCTTTTACAAAAAATAAAGTTTGAAAAAAATGAGAAAAGTTGCTTATATATAATTATATATAAGTGATTAAAAATATACATATATAATTATACAATGAACAATTTTTCTTATTTTTTCAAACTTGATTTTTTGCAAAAGAAAACAATGTAACAATTATTCTTTTAATTATTTTTTATGTTTCCTTCTTATTATTATCAATTTTGTATTAAAGAATAATTTTACAAAGAAAAGAAATATATATGGACATATTTTGCATATAATTATATATAATTATATATGGAACGTTTTTCCCAGGTGCTCAAAAGATCCGATAATGATAGAAATAGACTTAAAACTAAACCTAAACTTAAAATTAAACTTTATCGAAATTTTATCTAATTTTATAAAGTTTAAAGTTATCGTTTCTATCGAACTCACATTTGAGCTATTATAAAAAAGTTATCTATTTCTATCGTTTTTTAATAGTATAATCTTACATAAACATTAAATACACTTAAACTTGTGTATTTTTTTTATGTAACTTATCGAGTTATCTGATCCAAACTGAAAATTATGATTTGTTACATATTTTAGTATATTTGTAAGAAATATTAAAATTATTTATATATAAAAGACACAAAATTAAAATATTACATAATAAATCGTACATAAACTGAAAGCATTGCACGATAATATCAATTTTGAATAAATATGGTCAAAGATAAACATTGTACTTAAAATGACTTTTAAATTATATATTAAATACAGAGTAAAAAAAGATAACAAATCTGATATTTACGAATTAAAAACACGATAAAATTGTATAGCTTTCTTCTTATCTAACTCTATCGGATCTTTTAAACAGGCATGTAAATCTGCAAATATAACTGATTCTCGAAACACGTATCGTAACGTCTAAGAAAGCGTCGGTATAGTGCTTGAACTTGCAATTAACGACGGGAAAGGTCGAACGGCGTACGCCGTGATCGTTATCAATGATTTATTATCGCAAGCACGAATGTAAAGCAACTGATGATGTTCTCGATCGAATTTTTATGAATGTGAAAATGATTCTGCGGAATACTTTATTTGGCTGCAGAGACGGGCTAGTCATTGCGCTCGATCCAACACCGAAACCTGCAAGTGCAACCAAGGTCGGCCCGGAACCGCCGGATCACGTCAGCGACCTTGAGAGCATCATCGCGAGTCCTGCAGATAACGTGACTGTACGTCCGATAAAATTGCCGCGATCCACGGCCGATTCGCGTTCAAAGAACCAGAGGAGACGTCGTTATCAGCGTCGAAAGGAGTCATCTCGTGGCGAGAACGTTACAAGCGGTAAAATAAATAAAACGTTATAAATAATTGCCGCGGCGGCGTCGAAATTGGAGTTACTCCAACGGAGTGTCAAAAGATTAGGAAATCTATTTCGAAATAGAATTTCATGAGAGAAAATTGATTTAAACGAGAGGAGTAAATTTAGGAATGTTCGTGACTGCAGTAGACGTGAAGATTCTTAATTCTGAGATTATATGAAGGGAATGTTGACAATTAATTATAGGCGTTATAATTTATTTCCTTATTATGTGTATTTATTAGTTACTTTTTTATTGGATTAATAAAATATTTCTAGAATATGAAGAATATATAGAATTTTTAGAACAATACAATATAATTGCCACAAATGCCGTGCGCAGAGAAAACGATTTCTTTAGATTTATTAAATTTTATTGTAGTCAAACAAATTTGTTATTTGAAATGGTTTAAACAATGTTTGAATCAATAAGTACGATTGTTTGAATTTGAAATAATGTACATCTTCGTTTTAAATAAATTGCATAGAACAACACGTATATCAAAATATTTTGCTATTTCTATTTAAATAAATTATTTGTTTCATTGTTTGTATTTATTGTAATTATAAATAATACATGATTTGGTTGAAAGATATTACTTCAAATAATATTGTAGTGTTATTCCTTTTATTTCAAATAACAGAGGTTTTTTGAACGAAATAACAAAATTTTTATTCTAGTGTGTCCGATGAATACATCCAATATTCGAATAAATGAATAAATAATGAATATGAATACGAGTATAAATATTATTTTTTTTATATTCACGGAAAATTGAATAAATACTTTCTATGCGATTTGAATGAATACATTTGTGAATATGAT